CGTCTGCTGTGTTGCACAAGCTTGAGCAATTTGACTCAAGGGCGCTCCGTGCGATTGCCCGCTCGCCAGCACACATCACCAAGGAGAAAACGGTTGATGTTAGGGCTAGGCTTCGGGTTGATCCTCCCCATTGCGTGCTGTGTAAAACCCTGGAACGTAGAGTGCAGAAGGTGGCATCAGCGGACAGTCGGGAGTGGTTTATGCAACAGCTCCAGGAGATACGTGCGTTGTGCCCCGACACAACTGGCAAGGGCACGGGAGGCCCGTACACAGGACAGGATGCCTCACAAATGGCCCAGCTCAGACCTGTCCCTTGCCCAGACTGTGGATTGTACTTTCCTACTCTTAGGCACATGCGCTCGCATCAGGCTAGGCAGCATCAGCATGTAGGCCTCAATTCCAGACGGCAACCTGGTGTTCTGTGTGCGGCTGCTTACGCTGCTGGATCAGTCGGGGGCATGCCGCAGTGCGCTAAGTGTGGTAAGATCTTTACTAGGGTTGAGGGTCTCAAGAAGCATATTAACTCTGGCTGTGTTGTTGCCACTGCTGGCACTGATGATGCGGTGGCGGTCACCGCTGGTGAGGATCAGGTCCCTTCCCAGCGGGCAGGGTCGCCTAGGGGCTGGGCCCTGCAGACCGTCACTGATAAGCATGTCGTGCCTCAAAGCCCGCTGTTTGAAAGCTCCGATTTTCGCTGCCTAGTGTTGCGTGACTGGAGGAAGGCTGCATCAACCGATTCTGTGAAAACGCACCTTAAAGAGCACTGTCTTCTCTGTGGTCAATGGGGTTCGAGGTTAAAGCAGCATCTGCGGCAAATGCACAAGGACGCATGGGCATTGCGAGCAACAGCTGACTCATTGTGCAGCAGTGCCGGCTTTACAGCTACCGATCCTTGTAGCTACTGCGGATTATCCAATCGTAACCCACGACGCCACAACCTCAGTTGCATTGTTCTCTTCCAGACGGCTCTTGCTAAATCCCTGCTTGAACAAGGCCAGCATGAGCGGGGACCTGGCCATGGAGGACGCCCTGGCGGAGCATGCCCGGGAGGAGCTGGCGACGGTTCTTGGCCAGAAGGAGACCGACATGGAGCGGGAGACCGGGAAGTCTCCGCAGAAGGAGCTGGAGGAGGACGGAGAGCGCCGCCCCAAGTGGCAGAGAGAAAACAACAAAGGGGGCAAAGGACAATCCTCCAATTCTTGGGAGGGATGGCGCACGGGAAAGAGGCAGTGGGAGCGTGGCCAGCAGAAGGAGAGCGGGGAGACGGCCACGGAGGACAATCACCAGACCAAGGAGCTCCTCAAGTGCCTCGTGAAGATGTCGGTCCGGCACGAGCAGGAGCTGATGCGCATCAGGCCAGATGTGGGGTTCATAGCATTCTGCGATACCTCAGACCTCGGATGCATGCACCTGCTGAAGACCGTCGCAAAGAGCTGGTCGGACCTCTACACGCAGGGGAAGGTGACCTCCTCTCTCAAGGTCATAATGGCAATGGCCATGATGAAGGATATCCGCGAGCGGGCGGAGAAGGCACTCCAGGACGAGGAGCAGCTCCAACGCTGCTTCAACGTTGGCTGGGTGCAGCAGGGAGCCACGGCGCTGGATCCAGTGTGGGTGTACCACACGTGGAATGCCAAGGAGAAGAAACAAGAGGTGGCAGAGACGCCACCCCTGAAGCACTCGGAGGTGATGAGGCTCCTGGACCTACTGATCGAGCACCTCCCGCGGGAGGGTGTGCTCACCCGCTTCGCTTCCACAAAGCGGCTGGATCTGATGCAGGAGTTCAAGACGGAGGTGGTCCCGATGATGCTGCAGCTAAGCCTGAGGGGGAACTCAAGCCAGCTATGCTACGACGCTCTGAAGGCCTTGAGCGGGAATGCGGTCATGAAGCTCCAGGGAGTGCGCTGGAGGCCGGAGAGGGCTCAGAAGCCTCCATTGGCCAAAGCTCTGGAGGAGGCCTATTTGGCAACCGCTTTCTGCGATTGGGCGCCGAGAGACCAGCAGTCGTGGGCGCGCCGGTCGTCCTAGGTGGACTTCCGGTGGGAGCGGCGCAACAGGGGGCGCTGCTCCGAGCCCGTGGGGCACTTAAGCCCTTTACTGCGAAGCTGCGTAACCAATCAAATGTCTGTTATGCCAACAGTGTACTTCAGGCGGTGCTATGGATCGTGGAGCTCACCGGTGTTGCGGTGGGAAGGCTGAAGGCCGGCCTACGCATTATGCGCTCTTCGCAAGCAGTGCACCTTCTTGAAAGCCTCGCATTCCGGTGGATGTTTGATTCTTGGCACGGTGTGCATCAGCAGCACGACGCAGGAGAGTTTTTGGCTCATTGCCTTCGGAATGCACAGGCTGAGGCGTGGGAAGTTTGCTGGGAGGCACGCCTCTCTAATCCTGCGCGTGTCACTGACGGAGGCACGCTGCTCCAAGCTCTTCCACTGCCGATTGCAGGCACGACACTGCAAGCCATCATAGATAGTTGGGGTAGCCAGTACTCTGTGCATGCAATAGTTTCGCACTCTGATGTCCTTTTTATTCAGCTTGAGCGTTATGCACTCGGTGCTGCCAAAAACCGTTCCCCGATACGTGTGCGACCAGGCGACCGGCTGGCGGTACCAGTGTTTGAGGGGCCAAACGGCCTGGACCTTCGGCATGAGTCCTTTCAGATAGCGGTTATAGTGTATCACTTAGGGGATACGGTTCTTAGTGGGCATTACCTCACTCTGCAAGGCCTCCCGAAGGCTGACGAAAACTGGGATTATCTTGTCTGTGACGATAATAAAGCCCCGCGGCCCGCCAAACCCGGAGACCTGAAGAATGTTGATCAGAATGCCTATCTGATCGGACTTGTGCGCAGCCGGTAGCTCTGTCTTGGGCCGGCAGGGAGCCCGCACATTTCCCTGCAACATAAGAGCTGTGGCTAAACGCCGAAGTGCGTGTTCCATGCAGCCACAAAAGCGTGTTCTCGTTAATGTCATATCCTTTTGAATTTTAGCGTCCTTGACTGTCAGTCTCCAAACCGCCACTGCTGCCGCAGCTGGCTTGACAGGAGCGGTAGAGCCTAGGTCGGCTCACTGCTGTGCTGGGTGCACAGCTA